AAAAGGAGATCAATATTAATTTTATCTTTCTAAGTATAAACAAGAATGCCGACAGGAAAGGAAAGCTAACTCGAGTATTCCTCGTCGTGCATTAAAGTCGCATTAACTAATGTCAAAGAGGAAAAGGAACGGTCTTCCGGTCCATTAGTTACGTACAGTTACACTATACGACACGTAGATCACACGGTAAAGCTAGACTTTTCTCCCAATTTTGCGCTATTCAATTATAGACAATCACTTTCGAAGATTTGTAGTAATTTACAAATGCGGTAAATTATACACTAAAATATGATTACAAATAAGTAAAGGAAAAAGTATTAATACTAATTTGACGATGACTTTCACTATGGATTCAGCTTTATGGTTGGGATGCATTAGACAAGAAGATTGAAGATTTCAATTAAAATTATTTCAATGCTATCTATTTTGATAGAGAAAAAAAAAAGGATGATGCGTTCTCGTTTGTAGGATCAATCGCGCCGTCGATGTATACGACTAAAGAAATACAAAAAATAGATAGAAAAAAGTCGGGTAGGATCGCTTCATATATGAAGATATTAACGAAACCTCGTTCGGTCTCGCCATAAAACGTGCAAAAAAAAGGAGTAACGAATCGGTGCCGGTTTTGGCGCTCTCTAAAACGCCTGAATTCAGCGATCGTGCGCCTGATAACCCGGTTAACCCTACCAGCCCGTTATTATAATATTTGCCGAGCCGAAATATAGTAATTGCTTATTTGTTCGAGCCCAATTACCGCGTGGCTCGCGCACGCCCATGGATTCTCTACGCGGTACCTAGTACCTTTACGTGTTTCTTTCAACTATACAGGGTGATTCTAATTGAACTGGGACAAACTAGCTTTAATGTTTTATCTTAAGCGAAGATTAAAATAAATATTGCACAATTTTATGAAATTTCATTTTCAGTATACAACTATTTGTTTCTCATATGAATCAATATACCTGTGAGATTTAAATACCCTGCTTTTTAAACACTATCATATTTTTTTTTATTACATCAATTGATTCTTTTCTCATTAATTCATATATTAATATATTATAAAAAGTAAAATTGTCAAAATATTAATATTCGATGAAATATTTAAAATTTATTGCAGATTTATATTATTTTCCATTAATTTCTATGCACTCATCGAAATCACCCTATATACCTATCCGATACTCGCTCGATTTAACCACCACCCACTTTTACAACTTCCATCTATATATTCCTTCTTTCCTTTCCTTTCTCGGTTCCTTCCTTCTTTTCTTCTCTTATTTTTTATCCACCTACCTACCTGTCCGTTTACTCCCGCCCTCACCGACGACTTGCCGTAACGATTAGGTTGGAACAATCAGATACAGCCGGATCGGCACGTAATGTCTATTATTGCGTTCGACGTCAAAATAACGACGCGTTAGTTTGAATGTTTCAGCGATATTCGACGTTTCCTTGACGGCGGAACGTGCTCATGCTTGCTTTCTTTCTTTCTTTTGCGAATTACTGGTTTAACCAGGGGAAAGAAATCCAATCGTACAAGCAGAATGACTTCTTTTTACTTCTTTTAAAAATTTTTTTTTTATTAAACGAACCATTATATAGATGTTTCATAAAACGGTTCGTGTCTTCTCTTTCACAGCACATAGAATCATATACGTCACTTATTATTCACTGATCATCAATTGTATTCATAATATAAAAATTAGTAAAGCAATTCACAGTAATGCATTGTAAGATGATCCTTTAAAATAAATGAACTTGCATTTCTTAAACTTTGAAACGCATTATGATCTCACTTCATAAAAATTCATTTAATTCAGAGAAAATCAAACGTCCTTACATTTAGTCCATTCATGGCTTCCATAGTTTTAATAAGCCATCTTCGCTATATGAACATAGCAAGTTCTGATGAGGATGATGCGCTAAACCGATTACGTCTTTATCGTGTACCTACAATCGTAAAAAATCAATAAAATCGTTAGAAAAAAACGCGGTTGTTTACAAGTATTTTTATTTTATAATAAGTTACTCACATTAAGAGTTCTCTCTAACTTGCCGGATGATGTGGAAAAACAATAAAGTACGAGATCTTCACCAACGCAGTAGATAAATTCACCACGTGGGCTTACAACCGTGCATACGAAATCTCCACCTTCTCGTTTACCGCTGGAAAATGACCTTACAATTTGTCCTTGCATATTCATAATAACCACAGTATTTGATCGATTGCAAACAACAAAATGTTCTGGATTTCTTGGAAGAGGATGTACGCTGTTAACTGTTAAATCGGCAGCACCTAAAGACTTGTAAGTTCCTATGCACTCCGTTGTCTTTAAACTCCAAACCTTTACCGTGCCATCTGAGGAAGCACTAGGAAATCAAAAGTATTAATTAGTATATACATGCAATAAATATCAAAAGAATCATATTAACAATTATTAATACCTAATAATATTATGACCATCAGGCGCAAACACAACCTCATTGACAAATGAAGTATGTCCTCGAAATTCCTTAAGAGTTTTACCCGATTTCAATCCATGTATTCTAAAAATAAAGAAAATAGAGTAATAGTACATTTAATGTGCAATAAATTGTAATATAAATGTTTAATACAAACTAGCTTTCATTTACCTTATAGTAGTGTCGAATGAAGCTGACAAAATCTGACTATTATCTCTGCTAAATTGTAAACAAGTAACCCCTTTTGAATGTGCTTTTTCAAATCTCCTTAAACATTGACCGCTTTGAACTCTCCATACTTTAATCTTTCCATCTTGTCCACCTCCTGCTAACATTTCACTGTCACGACTAAAAGACATTGATAAAACAGCTTGCTCCATCATCATAAAATTATCTTGAGCTTGATATTTCAAATCTTTTCTTATTTTCCCCGTCGTAAAATTCCAAACTTCTATAAAACCATCTACGGAACCGGTGACCAAATATTGACCATCCGGTGAAAAACGTGCACATTCTACGTGTGATTTTTGTCCAAATTTGATTTGCTTTGACAACTGTGTAGGATATTTTTCATCCTCTTGATCTCTCACTGCTGCTTTTCCTCTAAACAAATCTATCGTTGTACCTGGTGGTAATAAACCTTGATGCTGTTGCCATTTTAACGCTTGACCCAAAAGAGCGAGCAATCTGCTGGAAGGTACTACAGAAACTTCTCCTGCAAGGGCAGTTGCTATATATGCTCTTCTTTTCTCTTTTGTACTCCCATCTGGATAAGCCTCACGTGGATCAAAATATGAACGAGCAAGCAGATTCTCTATATAATGAACAAAAAAATATTACTCAAAGAACTTATGCGTTAGAGAAGAAAAAAATATATGCATAAATTCATATATTATAGCTTTACCTAGATGTATGTATCTTTCAGGTTCTTGCTGTTTCATCATAATCATAGGATCCGTTTGTCTTAACAAAGAACGTGCTGCTCCCAATTCTCTCAATTCAATTAATTCTAAAACAACCTTTCATACAAACAAAAGTGAGATTACTTATTTATTAGATATATTAACAGAAATAACTTACCTGCTCATACAAATCTATGAGCTTTTTATCAGGTAGCTTCAAAGATTGTATAGCTTTAAGCACTGTGTCCCAGTGACCATTATTTATGTCAGCTACAAATCCATCTACACTGTCCACTGTATTAAGCGATACTCCTGTTTCCTCCTGTTTTATTACACACACACAATTGTATATAAATATATAAATAAAATAATTAAAATTCAAATAAAAATAAATATATTAAGTCAAGTACCTGTAGGGTTTGTAATGTTTTTACTAAATTTGATTCCTTCAAATATTGTTGTATCAAACGAATAACACTGAAAACAAATATAATATAATATATTTATTCATGTGATAATAAATAATATCAACATTATCCATATATTACTTACTCGGCAGATTCTATTTCAATAGACATTGTATATTTGAAAAATAATTAACATTAAAACAGATTATTTTTGGTTATGTTATGTCAATAAAACACAATGAACATTCAATCATAAATGCAGTCAATATAACTAGACGGTGAAGTAGGGTAAGACTAGATAAACCAGATTACCGTTCAAAGGTCTATTCTGATTGGATTATACTGTTCCTAATAAACCAATGAAAATGCACCGTATTATACTAAACGTACTATATAAAGTTATCATTTTTAATGTACGATAAAATACTATGAAAATCAAATTTCTATGTAATAGGACAATATTAGACTATCCTCAAATATTCATGCTGTTTGTTCCAAATAAATAAACAGCTGAACTGCATGGAATTATTGGATAAACTAATATAATATTTTATATTATAATAAATCCTTATAAATAAACAATCATCAAAAAAGATGAAATGATAATTATTATTTAAATTCTATAAAAGAGAGAAGAACAATAAATTTAAAAATTTATATATATATATATAAAATGAATTAAACCCGAGAAAAAATATTCGATAGATTAGAAATTAAGAGTGATTATTGCGACTTACTTCACGTATTTACTATCATGAGATATATATATATCACATATATATATCAAAACACATTTAGATTTTTCTTTATAAAATTTGAAATAAAATTTATATAATGTTTTTGACACGTTTAATTAAATGTCGTGTACTTCATGTACCTTCTCAATCTTTATTCTTCAGGTACGATACCACACGTACATTCACACATACATATATACATACACATACATGCATACATGCATTTTCTCTCTATATCACTACGTCATTCACATATAACCCATATGAGTGATCATTAAGTTATTTCATATTTCATAAATGCTTTCGTGTTCTCTTTATTATTATTATTCATGTTAATATTTTTGAGTGAATGTTAAGAGCATGTTTAAGAAGAATTTTTTAATTAATTGATTATATAAATAGTATTAAAATAAAAATTATCAATCGTTTTAATGCATATTGTCAATTATTCAAATTTGTTGTTATTTAAATAAAATTATCTAAATAAAAAAACGATTACTTTGCACGGTCATTTATTTATACATTCTTTAATTGCGATCATTTTAAATAATTAATATAATTCTTAAACAACTGTTTGCTTTTAATATTCTACTTTCAAATAATAATTGTAATAATGTTATCTCATGAGGATTTAACTGAAAATGAAGAGACTTTGCCACTGGAAATTAGTGTTTCTGAGTAAGAAAAAAATTTCATATATAATAAAATCATTTATTAATTCTATTATATCAACATAATATGCATAAGTATAGTAATATATAATATTATACTCTTTTTTGCTGTATTTGTTTAAAATTTGAGACTATATTTTATAATATTTTTAGAGCTAATTTACCAGAAAATAAAGCTCCATCATTATCAAGTATGTCAAATGTGTTAATTGATGATTATATTGAAAAACGATATGAAATTACCAAATCACCAAATGATAAAAAATTATATAGAGGTTTATTATTGTCTAATCATATGAAAGTAGTATTAGTAAGTGATCCAACGACTGATAGAAGTGCTGCAGCTATGGATGTTCATATTGGTAATGATCATAATTTGTATGAATTCATTATTTGTATGAATTCATTATTTGTATGAATTCATTATTTGTATGTATAATATATTTTTGTTTTTATTTGAAGGTTACATGAGCGATCCTGAAGATTTACCAGGCCTAGCTCATTTTTGTGAGCATATGTTATTTTTGGGAACGGAAAAATATCCTCAAGAAAATGAATATAATATGTTCCTATCTCAAAATGGTGGTACCAGTAACGCTGTTACTTGTATGGACCGTACTATTTATTATTTTAGTGTTACTCCAGATAAATTAAAAGATGCATTAGATCGTTTCGCACAATTCTTTTCGAAACCATTATTTACTGAATCGATGACAGAATTAGAAATTAATGCAATCAATTCTGAACACGAAAAAAATATAAATAATGATATATGGCGCATTCGTCAAGTAGAAAAATCATCAGCTAAGCCTAACCATCCATACTCTAAATTTGGTACTGGTAATAAAGAAACATTAGATACTATACCAAAAAAGAAAGGTATAAATGTTAGAGAAAAATTACTTGAGTTTCATAACAAGTATTATTCTGCCAATATTATGTCTTTATGTATTCTTGGAAAAGGTATGTAAATATGATATAATATTATTTCTTAGAATTAGACTATTTGATTATTAACGATATATAATTAAAGCATCAAAATATCGATTGTTACACTAATATACTTCATATACACTCCGCGCTACTGCTATACTTAATATACATTTAATTATAAAACAAGTTATCTATACAGTAATACAACTACAAGCCTAGCTCTGCCATAATAAAAATATAAAGTTACATATTTTTTAAAATATGAATATAATTTTAAATTTATTAATTAGAGAGCTTAGAGGAACTTGAAAGGATAGTTGTGAATCTGTTTTCTGAAGTAAAAAACAAAGAAATAGAAATACCAGTGTGGTCTGAACAACCTTTTGCCGAAGAAGATCTTGCAAATATATGGTACATTGTACCGATAAAAGATACACGAAGTTTAAACATGATATTTCCTATTCCTGATTTGCGAAGTCATTATAATGCTTCGGTAATCAAAATACTTGAATACATTCGCATTCCTATGATCATATTTTTCTTATCTATTTTTATTTTTCAGCCAACACATTATATATCACATTTATTGGGACATGAAGGAGCAGGTTCATTACTTTCATCCCTTAAAGCATATAATTGGTGCAATTCTTTAGTAGCAGGTAGATCACCATCTCCTAAAGGTTTTAGCTTTTTTCAAATTTCTGCTGATTTAACTGTAGAAGGTATTGATCACATTGATGATATTATCATGCTAACATTTCAATATATTAATATGCTTAAGGAAAAAAAACCAATTCAATGGATTTATGAGGTATAGTATCTCTATTTATATTATATTTTATATATATCATTTCTAACTTGACTATATATGATATATCTTTATTTTTAGGAATATAAAAGTATTGGTAATATGAATTTTCGATTTAAAGAGCAATCTTCACCACAATCATATGTGAGTTTGATAGCACAGGGATTACATCTGTATAATATGGAAGATGTTTTAACCGCAGAACATCTTTTCTTAGAATGGGATCCTCAGTTAATTACTGATGTAATGGAATATCTAAAACCAACAAATATTAGAGTACATGTAGTTGGAAAACACTTTAAAAACTTGGCTAATCAATCAGAAAAATGGTATGGAACCAAATTTAAGAAAGAAAAAATATCATTAGAATTAATTGAACGATGGCAAAAATGTCCGCCCAACTCAGATCTAGCATTACCATCTAAAAATGAGTTTATACCAAGCATATTTGATCTAAAAGAATTACCAGCCGATGTATGTAAATAATATTGATTTTTTCTTTTTTTTTCACATAAGTAAATATAATTATATATGTTTTATTGTATAATAATTCGTTTTTACTTTTAGTCAAACAAATATCCTGTAATTATAGAGGATACACCATTATTAAGAGTGTGGTTTAAACAGGATGACGAATATTTAGTACCAAAAGCTAATATTATGCTTAATTTTGTAAGGTATAATATACATTTTCTCAAAATAATATTATCTTATACAAATTCATATTGACGTTTTTATATAACTTTTTATGTTCAATCACAGTCCAATCGTATACTTAGATCCAGTTAATTACAACTCGTGTTTAATGTACGTTCGTTTGATTCGTGATTCTTTGGCTGAGTATGCATACGACGCTCAATTAACTGGTCTAACATGGGAAATAAACAACAGTAAATACGGAGTTGAAGTAAGCTAATTTATTTAATATTTCAATTTTATTAAAAATATATTATTTAAAAATACTTATATTCACACATAACAATCTAATTTCTTATTAGTATATTATTAGTTACATATCATCACATAATAATATATTCTTAATCAGAGTTATATTACTATGTCCTCAGCTCTCAATTGAAGGCTATGACCACAAACTAAGTGTCCTGTTAACCAAGATCATAAATAGTATGGTCAATTTCAAATTTGCACCAGAACGATTTGAAATTTTGAAAGAAAATGTATGTATAATAGTAATTATTGTAACAACATTAATCGCACAATATGTTTAATGTAATATTTTAATTTTAGTATATTCGAGAATTAAAAAATTTTAACACTGAGCAGCCGTATCAACATGCAGTGTATTACCTTGCTGCTTTATTAGTTGAGCAAACATGGATGAAAGATGAATTATTAGAAGCAAGTTCTCGTAAGTGCATATTTATCAATTATTTTATTATAAATTTGCCATTAATTCTATGTATTGATATATCTTAATTTATTGTCTATTATATATATATATATTTTTTTTTCCTCAGACATAACAATTAAACAATTAAGCACGTTCTTACAATATTTTTTAAATAATATACACGTAGAGTGTCTTGTTGATGGTAATCTTACGAGGTCAGAAGCCATTGATTTGGTTCGCATAGTTGAATCAAACTTTGGAAATAATTTGCCATATATGGTAATACTTTCACCGAGGCAATTGTTAGTCAAACGTGAAGTTAAATTAGAAGATGGTAATATGCAATAAATCATTTCTGATTAAATGACAATATTAATTTCATTATGCTTTATTTTATTTGTAGGGTGTCACTTTTTATTTGAAGTAGAAAATAAATACCACAAAAGTTCTTGTACTGAAATATATTACCAGAGTGGTGTGCAAACAACAGAGTCGAACATGTTGATTGAACTTTTGGGACAAATCATTCAAGAACCATGTTTCAATATTTTAAGAACTAAAGAACAGCTAGGATATATTGTATTTGCTGGCGTAAGAAGATCAAATGGTGTACAGGGAATGAGAGTTATCGTTCAAAGTACAAAACATCCCAAATTTGTAGAAACAAGAATCGACGAATTCATGAAAACCATGTTGGTAAGCTAAGATGATGATACTATTTTCCATCTATTATTTCTCTCAATTATTTCATCTAATTCTTCAATAATATTTTTAAACTTGCTTGTTTTTACTGGAATATAGAATGTTATAACAAACATGTCAGATGAAGAATTCAATGCACATAAGGAATCGTTAGCTGATCATCGTTTAGAAAAGCCTAAAAGGTTGAATTCTTTGAGTCAAGAGTTTTGGATGGAAATATCAACGCAACAGTATAATTTTGCTCGCTTAGATATTGAAATTCCATATTTAAGGACTATAACGAAAGAACAATTATTAACATTTTTCAAGGTATTTATAATTATTTAAAAAAAAATCATCTATTATTAACGATTTCATAATCTATGTTCGCAGGATCTTTGTTTCAATGAAAAACGAAGTAAGTTTAGCGTTCATGTAATTTCTATGGCAAATGGAGGTGCAGGATTAGAAACAAAAAATAGCGAAGAGAATAAAATTGAATCTTTAAATGATTTGCCTACTACCCAAGTAACAAAAATTGATGATATTGTAACATTTAAGAATACCCAACATTTATACCCACGATTTAAGCCTTGTGTTGATTTACCTAAAAAGGGTAATCGCTCTTCTAAATTATAAAAATGTTGTGCAACATAGTTTAATTTTAATTATATATATATGTTATTGTGAAAGACCGAAATTGGAGAATGTTAAAATTCACATGGTCGTTTGGTGTATGTCCAAAATGTTAATGTATAAGAATAAACCCAAATATTCGTATTTGATGTGTTGACAAGCGACCATGTGAATCTTGAGATTCTCCAATTTCGATCTTTCACGATAACATATCTACATAAATATTTAACATTTCAGATCAATGCTATTCTTTTAAACAAAAGTAATACTTGTATTTTTTATTCAATGTTATGTTTCATTGCTTAATACGTAGAGTGGATTGAAAAGTTTTGAACCTTAGCACATACAAAAAATAAACTTTTCTTTTTCTTTTTGTCAGTTTGGCTGACAAAATAATTGTTTCAGCATTAAGCTCAAAACTTTTCAAAATCCAACTAACGTAGATAAAATTTCTACAAATATTTTCTAAAACAATCTATCATTTTCTTTTTAAATCATGTTAAACCTTGAAATAAATGTTGTTTTTTTTTTTTCTGAAAGTTTGAAATAAATGAATTAATTGCAAATTTCTTCTACTTTCATTAGATTTTAAATAGAACTTACAATAGATTTATCGAGGCCAAACTGATCACAAATTTATATCATACGTCAATGACACATTTTTACAATATTAGGCAATATGAATAATAATCGATTAATCGTCGCACAGAGAGTATTGAATATCGTTTGAATATCGATTTTCTATGAACTTTTAAATCTCACCAATCAGTATCGTTTTCTTGGAAAGACTTACACCCCATTTCTGATCGTATTTCTTCTTTTAAAGACTGCAGATGGCGTAGAAGATGGGTGATGGTAAATTTGTAAATATTGTTTGCTCATCTGTAATTTGCTAACTGTAGCTTCTTCTCTGACTAATTCTCTTTGGTTTCGCTGACCTCGAGTGTCCAGAGTCCTCCTTGAAGCATTTCGTATCACTTTAACGCCTGTAAAAGAGTGGTTCTACAGTTGTACGTGCATTAACGTAAGCAAAATATATAAATTATTTTTATTTAAGGTTTATCGTATATTCGTCGTACGATACGTATGTAAGAAAAAAGGTTAAAAGATTTTCAGAGATTTCGGCCATCGTGATCTGCTGCGCAACCTTAACCTCAGACTTGTAATAATCTAAAACTTTTATTATACGTGCTATATTATATTTCCATTATTAGTAAATGTTATCGTCATACTCTCAATTTTTTCATAAATTAAGTAAGGAGGAATTAAAATCGTTAATATATACAAGTTTCTTGAAACCTACTAATAATAATAACTTGAAAGTTACATATTACAGTTATACCAATCATTAGAGCGTCGTTTCTGACTTCTAACAACTCGTGTAACAATGTCTTTACTTGTCTCTAGTATCATTTAATTTCTTGTCAAAAAAAAAGATAATACTCAATTATAGTAAGATAAACACGTTAAATTGTATTTATATATATATATGTATATGGAATATCCAGATATATATATATATATATATATTTTATCCATATATATACATATATATATATATATGGAAAAACAATTTTTCTATACTTCTTTTTCTCTTTATTAAAGCAAGTAGAATTAAAATAAGATGGATTGATTAAAAAAATATTTCGTCAATTAAATTTAAGTTTTGATAGTATTTAAATTTGTTTCTTCTAAAAGAAATCTATATCTTCGATTAATATTATTATTGTTATTGTTGTTTATTATTTCAGAAGGGTATTGTATGAGTCAAAAAATAGAAAAACCGATACTATCTGGTCAGCGCATAAAGACCAGAAAAAGAGGTAAAATAAAATAATATATTTTTTATATGAAACACAAACAATATTTGCCATTGAATAATTTTTATATAAGAAAAAAAGAAAATATTATTTGATAAAATTTTTAACCGATTGCTGGGTACTTATCAAAGTAAAATAAATCTATATCATTGTTGTATCATTTAAAACATTTGTTTACATTGAACAGATGAAAGAGAAAAGTATGATCCAACGGGTTTTCGGGATGCAATTTTACTTGGCCTGGAGAAAACTGGTAACGATTTAGAAGCTATTTCCAAGTATTTAGATTCAGCTGGCTCCAAGCTAGACTATCGTCGATACGGAGAGGCCTTATTTGACATCCTAATAGCTGGTGGCCTCCTCGTACCAGGGGGTTCTATTGCTCTAGATGGCGACAAGCCGGTTAAAACAACTGCCTGTGTTTTCGAACAAGCAGAGGATATGGAATCAATGCGAAATTTTGAACAGGTAATAACATATAATGTGTTACAATATTTTCTGTGTATAATATGCAGATAAAATATCGTACATTGTTGTCATGTTAATAGGTCTTTATCAAGCTCATGCGGCGTTACAAGTACTTGGAAAAAATGTTTGAGGAAGAAATGAAAAAAGTACTAGTTTTTATGAAAGGATTTTCACCTAAAAACAGAATCAAGTTAGCAAGAATGACAGCATTATGGATCTCTAATGGATCTGTACCACCCATTGTTCTTTCTGTTCTTATTAATGAACACTTGGTTAAGGACAATTTAGCATTAGACTTTTTATTAGAAGTCTTTGTGACTTGGAAACAAGAAAAGGGTCTATCTAGTTTAATGACTGCGCTCAAGAAAGGTGGAATTGAAGGAAGGTATAGTAAAACTTGATTAACTATCATTTCTATCAAAAATATTCATTATGCTTACTTTAATGCATTTTTAAATGAAAAGAAAATGTAATAATTATTAACGAAACGATATATCTCTCTTTAACTTGATTAAAATATTATATTTCAATAAATAGGTTAATGGAATTCGTGCCACCAAATAAACGAACAGAAGAATACTTTAGATCTATTTTTGAAGCTGTTGGTTTAGCTGACATAGTAAAACTCCATAAAGCTCAAGCAAGTCAAGAAGCAAAAAGGGATTTGCAACAATCACTTATAGATGATTTAGGTAACAAAAGACCTATGAAGGATATAATATTAGATGTCAAAGAAATGGCACAAAAAAGTGGTATTCCTGAGCATGAAGTTATTGGATTGGTAATTATGACATTTGATATTTTAATTTTGTTTTATATCTTCTTTATTTTTTATTATATTTAAATTTTTTCAGATTTGGAGCGTTGTAATGACTCAAGCAGAATGGAATAAAAAGGAAGAACTGGTAGCTGAACAAGCAGTAAAACATTTGAAAATTTATACTCCATTATTTGATGCTTTTACGTGCACTGCCAAATCTGAGCTTGCTCTTCTTCTTAAAGTTCAAGAGTTCTGTTACGAAAACATGTGCTTTATGAAAGTCTTCCAGAAGATTGTTTTACTCTTTTACAAAAGTATATTTATATATGAGAATAATATTATTTCTTTTGATGATTTCTTAAACGTATTTATAATCTATCTTTTAAACAATTTCTTTTTTATTTATATTTTAGCTGACGTAATATCAGAAGAAGTTATTCTGAAGTGGTACAAGGAGGGACACTCTGTTAAAGGAAAAATGCTCTTTTTGGACCAAATGAAAAAATTTGTAGAGTGGTTACAAAATGCCGAAGAAGAATCAGAATCAGGAGAAGAGGATTAAATTACAGATGTAAATATAATCAATAATTTCTAATGATTTCAGGAAAAATCGAAGATTTCTCATATTTAATTGATCTATTTGATTTCAGAAAAAAAATAAACATCATTGCCAATAAGTAAATTGCATTCTGTCCAAAATACTTGAGACATTTTAAATAAATGATGAAATTATTAATACTGCATAAAGTATTGAAAGGACGAGCAACAATAAGAGAAATCAGACACACTACAGATTAGACAGATGCAAAAAGATGTTTAAATTGTTAAAAAAAATAAGGAAAAAAAAGAAAATAACAATAATAATAATAATAATAATAATAATAATATTGACTACCAATTAGCGTGGAAGATGACAATTGTAAATTTACAATGTCTCTGAATTGTATTACTTTAAGAAAAAATATTTTGTGTTACATTTTTATAACTCCACCACAAAATATATACGGAATAACAAAGAAATTATGAAAAAAAAAATCTTTATCCCTGTGTACGTACAATTTTCGGAATCCCATCTTTCTCTCTTTGTATGATAATATTGTATTAGTTTATAGAAAATATACTATCAGGTGATGTGTTTAAGACTTGAAGTTTTAGTGAATCCTATTTTCCTACAAAATGTAGAGTTGACAGATTAGTGACATGATAAAATTATTTATAACATTTAATTTTATTATTTTATATACAAATAAACAAATAATCTATAAAATATCAATTTTGTTGTATTTTTCATAGATTCTTACATTTCATAATTATAACATAAATTATAACAATATATCTTTTTACAAATTTTAATTGTAAATGCTTGTCAATGCAATTGGTTGCTTTCGTATTAATGTTTTACCGTCCATAAACGGTACCAATGGTTCCGGAATTTTAATACGCCCATGTTCGGTTTGATGAGTTTCACATAATGCAATCATCATGCGAGGTATTGCACAAGCAGTACCATTTAATGTATGAACATGAAGAATTTCACCATTATGTGATTGATATTTTATATTCAATCTGCGCGACTGATAATCTGTACAATTACTGCAGCTTGATAATTCACCAAATAATTTCCTTCCAGGCATCCAAGCATCCATATCTACTTTTCTATTTAAAAAACATACAAAGTTTTATTGAATTTATCAATTTTATACAATAATAAAAAAAAAACAGAATTTTGTTCATTTCTAAATAAAAATTTAAACTACCTATAAGCAGGAGCACCTAACTCATGAGCCGGCATATCAAGTATTTTAAAATGTAATCCTAGAGAAGAGAATAAATCTTCCTGTATATCTAGTAAATATTGAAATACTTCTGAAGATTTGTTTTGTTCGGAGCAAACAAACATTTCAACTTTAGTAAATTGATGAACCCTGAATAAACGAAGAAAGTAAAAATTCATAATTGGTTCTTAATCGATTGTTAAAGTAGTATATGTTGTGTTTTACCTGTATATTCCTTTTTCATTCGATGTGCTTGATATTTCAGCTCTGTAACATCTACTAATAGCTGTCATTTTTAATGGTAAATCTTTATAAGAAAATTTCGAATTGATCAACTTAGCAGCTAATGACATTTCAGCTGTTCCTGATAAGCTATAATCATCTCCATAATTTTTACTTAAATTATATACAAGCGTTCTTGGACCATCCGCTAATAAGCCACATCTTTTTATAATTTCAGTTGGTATGATGTCCGGTACGGATACAAGTTGAAATCCATGTTTAATTAATTTTCTTAGTGTATACCGTATAAGAGCATTTTCCAATTCAGCCAATTCACCTTGAAATATATAACATCGACTTCCCATTATAGGTCCTAATCCTTGTGATCTCATAAGTTTTAACTTTTTAGCTAAGTAAGAAAATTCTTTAGGCTTGACATTAAATTCATGCTTAGATCCGCATACTTTCAATACATGTGGTTTATCTCCATATTCAAATACAGATGAATATGTATCGTTTGGTATTTTACTTAATTCATTTAAAAATATGTCACGTTTTTCTATTTGCTTGAATAGTTCAAGGACCTTGTCTATGTCACCAACTCCCTTTCGTTTTTTTACATTATTAGCAATGTAATCACGATTTAAAGGATCGCATAAAAATTTTATATTATATTCTGGTTCTGGCATACCTAATTTTGTTAATTCAAAATTCTTTTTTGTTAACTTTTGATACTGTAAGAAAATCATTCGTCTTTTAAAAGATATGAATTTTTTAAAATACAAAAAAGTAATTTCAAAATAAAATGTGCATGTTACACTATATAACAATTGTATTTAACGATATTAAATACAATACAACGTTACTTACAATTTGTTTTAAATTATGTAAAATTAAAAGAATTATAAAATACACACCTGCGTACAAAATCTTCTAATTTCAATAAATTGACGTAAACTTTTTGTAAAATTCATCTTGTTCTTTAAATAATTCAAAATAATATTAAAATACTGTGCATTCGTAAACACGGTGGATAGATAACCTATATAATAATTTTATATTTTAGATAGATCTTGTACTTATAATTATATTATCAATCGAATATTTATATTAAATATATATTAATAAAATTCTCGTAATATGAATAAAAGTATTAAATAATTTCTCTTCCATCAATTTACATCATATCTAAAAGTCTCTAATAATATATTAATAAATAGTTAATAAACAATATATAATTCATGTAAAATATTTATTTATAATTATTAAATTTCATTCAAATATAATACCATAAATTAATATTCAAAAATTCATTTGCAACTTTAAACTTCCAATTAAGATAACGTCGAGATTACACTCAGTATGACAGCGCACTTATGTATGGGTAAAAGAAATACATCTTGTACAAAAATACATTCTAAATGATTTCTGTGTGTTAGAACTATGCAATATAATCTTATAAAAAATATCCAATGAAATATTGTTATATTTTAAAACTGAGTATATTATAAAATGTAAGAGTTTCTTTTTATAATGTTAACTTTTTTTTATAAAATTCACGATCTAACCAATATTAGTAAATATCGAATTGTTTATTTTATCAAAACTGTTGTCAATATTTTGAAGATATAAACGAGAACAGTACTTTTTTAGTAATTTTGATTTCCCAATTATAACATAATATAAGTATATTAATATTTAATTATTTATAAATCTACACTTTATAACATAAATTGTTAATTTATTAACAACATTGCATTTTTATATGTATAAATATTACATGTTTTGTATTATATATAATACACACTTTTATATGACCTTTTTTTTACAGTTTTGTTTCATTAAAATAAAACCATGTCTGCTAGAACAATATTGAAAAATTGGAATAAATTTTATGAAATTTTCTCTCATCGTTTAATTGGATCACACCGTAAAGGAATTATTTCAACATTTCTTGGAGCAGGTGTTACAACTGGAGTTGTATTATACAATGTATCTAATAGTAAAGTTATTGCAGCACAAACAACATTAAATATGCAAAATTTTATGGCACAACCTATTACTTCCATTGATAAACTAGAAGAAAATCCAGATGACATGAAAACAAAGATGGAACTTTTAATTTTAAAAATACAAGCTGATTTCTGCAAACAATTAGAATCTTTAGAAGAAAACGATTCCCATTTCACAGTAGATCGTTGGACTAGAGCAGAAGGAGGTGGTGGTATCACTTGCGTTTTGCAAGATGGAACTGTATTTGAGAAGGCTGGAGTTAATATTTCAGTAGTATCTGGTTTATTACCGCCAGGAGCAATACAACAAATGAGAGCAAGAGGAAAACAAATAGATGAAGGATCTTTACCTTTTTTTGCAGCTGGCGTAAGCGCTGTTATTCACCCACGTAATCCCATGGTTCCTACTATACATTTTAATTATCGATATTTTGAAATTAAAAATAAAGATGGTTCTATTCAGTGGTGGTTTGGAGGTGGAACAGATCTTACACCTTATTATTTGAATGAGAATGATGCTAAACATTTTCATGGAACTTTAAAAAAAGCTTGCGACAAGCATAATCTATCATATTATGCAAAGTTCAAAAAATGGTGCGATGATTATTTTTATATTAATCACAGAGGAGAACGTCGTGGTATAGGAGGAATATTTTTTGATGATTTGGACACACCAAGTCAGAATGAAGCATTTCTTTTTGTAAAATCATGTGCAGAAGCAGTTATACCATCTTATATCCCACTGATTAAAAAGCATAAAAATGATGGCTATGGATATGCCGAAAGACAATGGCAATTGTTACGTAGAGGAAGATATGTAGAATTTAATTTGATATATGATCGCGGTACCAAATTTGGATTGTATACTCCTGGTGCTCGATATGAAAGCATTTTAATGTCTTTACCTTTGAGTGCTAAATGGGAATATATGCATGAACCTAATCCAAATTCGAAAGAAGCAAAACTTACGGAAGTACTTAAAAATCCAAGAGATTGGTTAAATTCAACATAAAATTGTTTATTGTCAAAAGTTAATTATATAAATTAATTTGATAGAAAATTTTTTTTAATAATATAAATAATATATAAACGAATATATACGAACGTTAATTATTAAAACGTAAACGTTTGCGTAATCTTTTTGTTTTATAGCCGTGCCGGTCTCCGTNTATACATACATATATATATATGCATAGTATTATGTAATAATTATTTTGTTAATAATTTCTATCTTGTAAAATATAGTTGGTAATATTTCTTAGATATTTTATATTTGTAAATATATAAAATAACAAATGTTATAAATAAAAAATTAATATATAAAAGATAGTTTTGTAATACATACAACACTATTTTCTTTATTAAGATTATTACTCAATAAACACATGAAATAAAAAATAAAAACTCTGTCTTCGTTAAAAACAAAAAATCATATATTAAAACATATACAAAAAAGAGTTATATAATAGTAATAATATCATAATTGTGAAGACAGTCTTCTTAATTATGTACACACGTTCATGAAATAAATACATTTTACAGTAAATAATGTGTATACAAATAATGCAACAGCTTTGGCACATTTACATAGTAATGGTAATCAAGAATGAAGTGTTAATATGATAAGCTGTTATTTTTTATCTTAAATTATTTAAAAAATATAAAAAGCAAAATATTCGGCAATTTTTTTTTATATAATTAAAAATGAAAAGACAATAATAAATATGCTGTTCACAATATACACATAAAAATTCTTATAACATTATACACTTGTTTCTTTTTTTACTATAGATAAATGATTTACTGAAGCATCTACATATAAATCAGTTGCTATATGTTCTTGTACATTTTCAAAAATCGTGTTAGTTGGTATATTTTCTGTTTCACTTACAGATTCAAAATTAGGAGTCATCGTACATAAATTTTCAGAAGAAGCAATATCTGTTAGACAATAAAAATTGGATTCAATATTTTTTGTTAAATCGTATGTACTATTATTTTGTTCTAAATTTGATAGATGCAATTCTTGAAGTAAATGGAAGTCACATTCATCACTACAATTGGAAGTATCAACCATATTAACTACATCATTAGAAACTGATGGTTCTACATTTACTAACGCAAATGCATTATCACTGATAAAACTATTTATTTCAGTCAAAGATTGTTCTGATTTACTATTTAATTTTTTTGATTCAGGAACTATATCGAAGAGATTACAACTACTTGTATTTGTTAAATTTGTGAAAGATTGTTTAGAATATTCACAATTCTTAGTTGTAATATCATTTAATGAACTGCGATGATTCTTTTTAAATAGTTTGGTATGATTTAATGGAAGATTATGCATACTCATAGACTGAAATAACCACCTCGTACTTGGCTTAGTTTTTATTTCTAGAGCACTATCATTCATTTTGGAACATCTTCCTGTGTCTAGCATTTCTGCTGTTTCACAGATATCTGGTAAATTCTGATCGCTTCTTTCGCTTGTCATTTGTGTAGTAGAATCTATTTCAGAACTATACTCTAAACTACATTGTTGTGAAACACTCTTTAAGTATCTCTCTTCATCAGTTTTCATCTCTGGATCAGATTCATGAACAGTTACAGATTTAGAATATAATCTTTGACACGAATTTCTTCTTGGAGAATCCGGTAATGCATTATTTCTTGTAAATTCTTCTTGCATTGTGCAATCATTATTTATCTTTTTTACATTTCGTACAAGATTATCTTGTCCAATGACAAAACGCATTGGAACATTTCTTTCTTCAGAGATACTACCACCACTATCAGAGAGAATATTTACGTTTTTTGTATCACTAATTGCTTTCAATTCTACATGTATATTTGTATTATTTACTTTAGCACTACTACTTAAAATACTTCGTTCAATATTACTTTCCACTTTCACAGCAGGTCGTGGTATAGAAATGCAACTACCACCATCGCTTGTGCCACCGCCATCGCCTTGCTTTCTAGGACCAAGATTATTGTGTTTTGTATGTCGCCGTTGTTTTTTAAAAAATTTCCTTGCTACTCCACTTTGGTGTGGATTGTAAAACATTTCAACACATGTTGCTCCCTGTTCTGTATAGGTAGTTACAGAGTTGTTTGATCGATATTGTTGACGATGCAATACCAATAAATTTATATTGGGTACCTTCTTTGCTGCAATAATTGCAGGATCTTGATTACTTACAAGGTCTGTAATTTTTGAAGTATTACATGTATGAGATCTGTTTGCAGTCTGTCTTGAAGAGCTCACAGAGTTTGTATCAGAAGTCACTTGTGTAGCTTGGGAATTAGAAAGAGGCGCTACGATATTCTGTACTAATGGTTGTTGAGTTGGAATAACAGGATTTGCATCCGATACACTTCGTGTTCTACAACAACGATTTTTTTTCCTTTGAAGCCAACAACGCATTTTCAACCATTGTGATCGTACATCGTTACGTGCAATTCCGTAAAATAAAAATATAAATATACCAAGTGAACTAGTAGAAATTGCATAAACAATAGCAAATATAATTTCTACAAAAGGAATATAAGAGTTGAAAGGTTTTCTAGTTACTGCAGCAGCACTAAACCAAGATATTAAATATAGTATTAAAGTCAATGTCAGGCCGTTTAATTGTGCAATTTGTGAATGTTCCGAATCTTCGATATCCGAGGAAACTGTTTGCGTACTGTGTGCGCTATTTCTGTCGACTGGACTTATATTTGGCTCAAGTAACTCTAAATCCATATTTTCTGTAGCCTGAGTACTCTCAGATAATTGAGCATTTGTATCTACATTTCGAATAGCACATCTAATTAACAAGTGTAAAATGATTATATAGACAATTAAAATTCCAGCTGGTATAAATAATGCAGCAAGCGCAGCTCCATTCGTAAGAAAGCAATACGAATATCCAGCATATTCCCGTAGATTAATTGCACCAGATATACCACAGATTATTAAAGCTATACCCCAGCCAACCAAATAAAGACCTAATAGTGGTTTAGGTATAGGTTGATCTGGTGGCTCATCATCCGATATAATGTCAATGTCAGATTTTGACAATTTTTTATACATATTACTGTGGATGAAGCATAATTAATTTTTATTCTTTAAAATGTAAATAGCCAATTAAAAAATGTTTGAATCAAATATACTTACCTAGCAGATGTTGCCATCCATAACAGACAACTCAGTGATAGATAGTGTAAAACAAGACCAATGCTTTGACAAATTTGAATATTTTCAGTTTGTTGAATACCAATGCTATACAGAAATGATAATAATGCCATAGCAAACCAAGTGTTAATAACGCAATGTTTTACTTTCTTTGGCATATTAATAGAAGAGTAGCATACAATATATGTCACTGAAGTAACTAGCAAACATGTTATTGTAATGAAAGTCCCAATATATATAGCAGGATTCGAGTATTTAAATTTGGGTCCATTTATACTGAAAACATCTGTTGTTAAAATTCTATATATATAACAGTAAAAACTATAATAAAGTTAATAAATACCTAAAACCATCCTGACTAAGATACGAAACATCTTGTAAAAGTCCATAATAACCTAATCTATTACATTGGAATACTATTAAATTATTGAATAAATTTGATAATTGGCATCCATCACTAATCCATCCACCAGATTCATTCAATGTCTCGTCCCAAACTACAGGTTTTGGTTTTTTACCAACATAATGATGTAAAGGAGCTCTTAACATAATATAAATTGGATCAGATAAATTCTTTAATGATAATCCGACTGAAAATAATAATAGAGATATCAATTATTGATCAAGAAAATATATAATTTAAATATTAAGAATAATTGTATTTCAAGAAAATGTTCTATTTGCTTACTCAATTTACTGCCGATTACAGACGTCGAAATGTCCATATTGTCAATATTTATAATTTTAGGAAACAATCTATTATCATTGTACATTGAAATCATAAGTTTATGAGATACTATGGCATCTTGTACATTTTGTAATAATGTTGCTGGTAATTGAATTGAAGCTTCAATTATTTTGTCTTTTGTATTGACAGGAATTGTTCTGTTATTTGTTGTACAATGTAATGATCGTTTATCTAAATCATTAGTAGGATTAAGATTAGTATACCAAGTACACATTAATCCAGTAAAACTATCCCGTTTAACTCTAAATTCTTCCAACGCCATATTTTTTTTATGCATTTGTATTGTTGGAGTGAATTCCGTGATCGTCTCTGTAGCTTTAATTAATCTTGAGCATGATTTATAATTAATTTCGGCAGTTTTTAACATCTCTTTCGGTAAATTCAATAATGCTTCAACAACATTAATAAGCATATTACCCAGTTCTTTCTCATCATTCAAAAAACTTAAATAATTTTCTATTGTTAATGTAATAAAATTAATTTCTATAGGATCAGTCAATTTAACACCTTCGCTGGTGTAATTTTTAAAACGTTTAGCTGTCTCTAATAAGTTGCCTAATGTAAGAGATAGGTTTACTTTAGAAAATTGTTCCAAAACTTTGGTAGTGTGTGATACAAATGGACACATGTCTGTGTTTAAGTTTTCCCAAAATCCAGTTGCATTGCAATGATATGTTGCCCTCAAAGATACTTGCATTAAATTCGATAAGAGATTACCTTCGCAAGGCAATTCTGCTTTCCACCCTACTACTGTTCTAGGCCATGTATACATTCCTTTATTATTTCTAGTAACTGAAATAAAGGTTTACTATTAATATTTTACATGTGATATAAATAAAGAAAATAAAATATATATTTAATACCTGCTAAAGGACAGTAACGAGTTTGTTCAGATATAACTATTACGCTAATTTCTTTAGATCTATTTCCATTCATAGAAGTTAAAAAACAATTCCATTGTCCATTGTGTTCATCCTTTACTGGAATAATACTAAGAGAACTAAATAAAAAGAAAGTAAGAATTATATAATAATTCGGAAACAATACAAATTGTGCATAAGAATAAAATTTAATAAATGACATTACCTGTCAACAATACCACTGTCAGAAAGATATCTATTTTCGATCTTAATATTAGGCAAACTACTTTGTGGGTCTTTGTATACATCAAGATCAAAAATTTCAGTAGTTGTATTAGGATACCATAACCAATTTAATCTTGCATTTTTATCATCTATAATGCTGGGTGCTCTACACTTTAAAGTTATCGAATCTCCAGCAAATACTACTTGGTTTTGAATTGGTCGTAATTCAACAGACGGTGAGGCCCATTGGCAATGAAAATTTTCTAATAATCTAAATTTTTTAATAAGCTGCCCTTTGATATTTACCGGTGATGCACATTTAGCAGGTGGACTAAAACACAGTAAATACAAATTAATATTAATAAAGATGTGGCAAAAATAATATGAGACACAAATTGTAATATATTTTATTTTATATGAAACTTTACCTTAATCTGATAGAGGTATTGTGAAGCCAATAACGAAACCAATAAAGTTCACAATCACATTTCCACGGATTATTGGATAGGTCTCTGTAATTGAAAAATAATTCTATTAAATTAGAAAACTAAACCTTTAAATGACCAATACACAAAAATTTTCTTTTACTTACAATTGTTTCAGTAACTTTAATCTATGAAATGTGCCTTCTTTCAAAGTCGTTAGACTATTTCCACTTAATTTTCTGAAACATTATATTGTTTAGTAACGAACTTATAGTAGTACACGCATGCACTCATGTATTCATAGATATGATTGCATACTAAATAGAATTATAAAATATAATTTATGTAATAGTGCTTAGCAGAAGCAGCATAAGCAAAGTGATAATACATGAGAAAAACAATGCAAAATTCCACTTACAAGCGATCTAAATTCAGCAAATTATTAAATAAAGATGGCATCACCGTATTTATTTGATTTCCCGATAAATCGCTGGTAAAAAAGAAAAGAAAAAAATAAGTAAATAAAATATAAGACAAAGGAAGCGCTCATGAAGATATCTTTTCACGTATACTTAACTTACAGTCTTCTTAGATTAGACAATTGTTTAAAGGCATAGGTATCTATCGTAGAAATTTGATTTTTACTCAAATCCCTAAAAAAAGATAAATAAATATAGAACTTTTCTTCAAGTTGATACTAAATACATGATAATCTAATAACATTCTCTTACAATTTTTCTAAATTTTCCAAGCCGTTAAAACAATCCTCATCTATGGAAGAAATTTTATTCTCAGATAAATCCAAACGTTTCAGATTTGTTAAATTCTTAAAAATATTAGCCTCTATACTAAGAATTTCATTTTTACATAGATCCCTGTAAGAAAGTGTTTTATAAATAAATTGTGTTTAAAAATACATTTCAACATTTTATTTAGCTATTTAATATTTGAAGTGATATTTACAATTGTACTAATTCTACACTGACTTCATCGATATTGATTTCTTTAATCTCTTGTATATGTCCTTCACACTTAACACGTAACCCTTCTGCTTGTGCACCAATAAGTTTGCACATGCATTGTTCTGGACAGGGATGACTTATAATCCCACTTATTTGGACCAAAATTAAAAGAGAAAAGACACCTTTCATGTTTGTCAAAAGTTAGCCTTTTTCTGTATAAAAAAATTTCAGATTAATTAACACTTAAAAATAAGAATTATACAAAGAAAATATACATAAAAATATATACTCCTCGCGTTATCTTCATTTAAAATATTCATTGGTATTTAATAACAATAAAGAAGAAAATAAAACAATATACAAATGTATACATACGATATAAAATAAAAATGAATATGTTTATTGTATTTATAATTTATTTGTACACATTACAGAACGCTATGGTCGATGAAACATTAAAAAGTAATAAAATAATAATGAAATAAATAAATAAGATAATAGAAAAAAACGGTATCACTTACGGCATTAAGAGCACTTACGGCACTTAGGCCAACAATTCAATCGTGCCTTTTACATTGTGTCCACATTTCTTTCTTCCTTCATTTTGAAAAACAATCTTTGTAATTATTATTAAAAATACATACAATTAAAATGAGTAAACAGTATTTCAATAATTGTAATTAATCTTTCGTACACACAAATGTCATACACCAAACTATTCTACTCAACTGAACCTCAAATTCTCAAACTCTAAAGTCATTGGATGCTTTCCAAATAACACTATTGTATATTGATATGTTATAACATCCTCATAGCTGATTGGTTAAATTTAAAATGAACTTTTTTACTATTTTGTAGGGAACTATAATTTTGAATGTTTGACAAGGTGATATTCATTATTATTACAATAATTATTATTATTATTGTTATGATTATTTTGTTAGAAAAAATAAAAGAATCTAATTTAAGTGAAGTTGTATTAACCTTTTACATTTTGTGACTTAAGTGTTGTCTAAACTAATATTATAAACTTTTTAGTAAAAGATGTCCGCTTACTTATTTTATACGTTAATTTATTGTTTAATATCCGGTTGCATTATTTATCCACCAGTGGAATTTGTTTCTGCTGGTCTAACAATAAAATCATTATTTGCAAGTTGGTTGGGTAGTGAAACTGAATCTTTTATAAATTATCATATTAAGAGGAGTGTTTTTACGTTATTCATACATTCCATATTGCCATTTGGTAAAATTAATTAATTTTTAAATAATACAAATAAATTAAACAAATCAGATTAAAACCTATAGTACCATATTAATTTTATTTTTAGGATATATTTTAGGTTTGATATTATTTGATCATATTGATGCAAACAAAATACAATTGTTCTATCAAAGTCCTCTATGGTTAACTGTTGTCATTGTTACAATAGCAGGACCGGCATATGTCTTATATAGAATTTTTAAATGGTCTAAGAATGATTGGAAGATGCATCCGATAATACAAAATCTTTTAATTTATACTGATAATAATGCTAATTGGAAGTCTGTTGCATCTCAAATTGATGTAGAATACAAAAGGTTCATAATTTGATACAATAATTCGTATAAATTCATATAAATTTAATGGATTACGTTGACAATAATAAATGAACTTATTTTAGAATAGATAAAATCATAATTGATACAAATAGCATCACTAGAGTTATTGTAACAGATAATTGGATAATTAAAATAACTTCTTATAAACTGTACATTGCACAACACAACGATACTGCTTTAATAGTAAGCAGAAGTGATTCTCATGCCCTGTCTCCTTCATTTAGGGGCGAAATCCAGTTTATTAATATTGAGGTATCATTTATTTATTAATTTAAATATATATTATTGTTTATCGAATAAAAAGAAAAATGATAATCTAGGTAAAACCTACCAGGGAAAGAGCAGAATATTTTGATATAAGAATAAGTACATTTGCCTTCAAAGATTTTCAAGACAAAGTACAACAGCAAATTGTCATTTTACAAGATGTTCCTTTTCATAGAACATTGTTGGATAGATTTATTGATGTCTTTAAAGAACAAGCATCAGAAAACCCTATTTATGAAACTGCAATGGTAACAAATATTTCAATATTTAATGATGCATCCTATTTATTACTATATTTTATTAAATAGGAATTAGAGCAGTGTATGGGTTGTATGCAAGTAAAATCTAATGTTAAGCTAAATAAATATTGTGGAAATATTACTGATGGACCAAGTAATGATGAATGTACAACTTGCCATTGTCGGCCAATGTGGTGTATTGAATGTATGGCAAAATGGTTTGTTTTTTCGAGTTATTTCTTAAAGTAATGACTTTTTTTTGTTATAACCAAATTAACTTTTAACTTCCAAACATTTTTGTTGAACATAGGTTTGCGTCCAAGCAAAATGAGAATACACCAGAAATATGGTTGTCTTCCAAATGTACTTGCCCTGTGTGCAGGGCAAAATTTTGTATCTTGGATGTATGTCCTGTACGAAGTATTGACACATAAATTGTAATTATATAAATATATTAGAACAATTCTATATTCTTTCATAAACAGATATATTTTAAAATTTATAATTTTATATGATAAAGATACATTTCTTAATTAAAAAAGTAAATAATTGAGATATGTGGGTATACATGCGATTTTGGAGTTTGGATTAAGAAAAATCGGATTAAAACTCTTATGCTACAATTTAAGTCCTGACAGCACGTGCCATAATAAACAACGAAAAACATTTAATTGTTTAGTTGCATGCTCCAAGTTGAGTTAATCACATACATCTTATAACATCTACATACATGTATGGTGCACAATTTATTTAATACTACAGAGTCTCTGGGAAACAATTTAAAACAAACTGATTTATCAGGGAATAAATAAACGAATCAGTAGCATTTTATCTTAAATATTTGAATAAGTGCCTATTTTAAATTATTAAAAAGTTTTGAAAAAGCTGACAAAAATGATTAATCTTCAATCGTATAAAATTTTTCAAAATAACATAGTCCATATGATTATATAAGGATTTACTTCTAATACTTTTAGAAAATATATTTAAAAGTACGGATTTTACTAACATAACACTAATGTGTAACTAAAATGGAATGGCATCGACGACAATTGATCCAGGAACCTGACTCGTGTTTTTTACATTTAGCTCAATAAATGTACCATGATTCTCAACCGTGGTTTTTATATATAACCAGAATCCTTTTATCACTAGTCTGACGCGATATTGTAGGTCAAAAGATCAATAGAATTAATTATATTTACATGTCTTGTAAAAGCTAATGTTTCGAATGAAAATCAATTATTATGTGATGTGTTTTTTTTGTTTTTATATAATATACAATATAAAGATTTTGTATTCCTTATTAACAAATATAATATCAAATTTGACAAAAATTCTGTATAATAATAATACAATTATTTTATTTAAATTCAATTAAAAAATAGATCTAACTAGATCTAACAAATAATACTTAAATACTTAAGAGTGTAATTACATTACATATATTTATGTTACCATTAATCTTGGTGCAATGTTCATAGACATTAATTCTTGGAAAAGTAATTTAGCCGCATACGGTAATCTAACTTGCGAGATCTGCGTTTTGTTTTTACAACCTCTACATTCAAACGTATTATTACGTAAGACAGCTATAGCAATTAATCCACAGAAATTGCATAAATGAATTCTATATGGATCAGAAACTTCGAATAAACGTTCTCTTAAAAATTGAGCGGCACCATGTGAAATTTGGCAATCGCGTTCCATTTCACCAAAACGCAACCCACCATCTCTGTTAAATAAATAAAAAAAACAATGCTATTATATACTTTTCTACTATAAAGTAATAAACATTTTTTCTTATAAAATAATATCACAAAATAAATTTGTAATTAAGTTTACTAACCTTGCTCTACCTTCCATTGGTTGTCGAACTAAAATCTGTACAGGTCCTCTTGCTCTACTATGAATTTTATCATCTACCATATGCTTTAAACGTTGATAATAAGTCGGTCCTAAGAAAACTTGAGCATTAATTTTACGACCTGTATGTCCATTATACATAACTTCGTTGCCTCTTAATTGATATCCATATTCTTGTAAAAGCGTCGAAATTTTTTGTACGTTTACGGCATCGTTAAACGGAGTAGCATCACCAATTTCACCTATATAATTTCAATAAAAAGTATAAATTATATAAAATAGTGTTTCTATAAAAAAGAAATATTTTATTTTTATATAATGCATATTATAATGCATACCTTTATTTGCTGAAACTTTTCCTTGAATACATTCGATCAAGTGACCAATGGTCATACGAGATGGGATAGCATGAGGATTAATAATTATATCAGGCGTTAGCCCTTCGCATGAAAATGGCATATCTTCTTGTCTGTATTGAATACCACAAGTACCTTTTTGTCCGTGACGTGAAGCAAATTTATCACCAATTTGCGGTATGCGTACGCTACGAACTCTAATCTTACAAAATTTGTATCCCTCGCTATTCAGTGTTAACATAACTTGATCTACAATTCCAGTTTCACTATTACGTAAGAAAGTAGATGCATCCCTTTTTATAAAACGTTTGGTTGTACTGTCCAACTGTAAATATTTATAATATGTTATGAAATGCAAATATAGTATATTATATAATTCTTATAATATTTACCTCATCATCTGTTTCTGGAAGAGTAATAGTTTTGCCTATTACAACATCATCACCTGATACACGAATGCCAGGAGCGATAATTCCATCATCGTCTAATTTATCGTATATAGCATTGCGCATTCCTTGGCAAGTTTGTCTTGTAGGTTTTTCAAATTGTTCTTCCTGATCACCAATTCTTTTAGATTCAGAATCCTTATAAGATCGGTAAAAGACAGATCTAAAGAAACCTCTTTCAACTGCGCTGGCATTAAGAATAACACTATCTTCTTGATTGTATCCAGTATAGCATAAAATAGCAACAATACTGTTAATTCCTGCTGGAAGCTCTCTAAATCTAAGATATTCCATAGATCTAGTAGTAACTAATGGCTTATGAGGATAATAAAGTACGTGAGCTAAAGTGTCCATTCGAACATGGTAGTTTGTTATATAAACTCCCATAGCTTGTTTACCCATAGCACTCTTTAACATAGAAAAAAAAGATAAAAATATTTTACATCTAAAATATAATCTGAATATTGTATATATAAGATAATCAAATTTACCTGATAAGTATTCCTAGGACTTTGATTATGATCAGGGAATGGAATAATAGAAGCGCAAACTCCTAGAATCATGGCCGGATGAATTTCACAATGTGTATAAGTTGTACAATAAGCATATTCCTTTTCTTGCCTAAGATCTTCGGGTGACATAGCAATCATGACAGTCTCTTCTTCAAGTGTATCTATATATTCTACTACTCCACTACCTACTAATTCTTGCCATCTACAATAAATGATTACAATGCATAAAATTTATTAAAAAATATAAAAGAAAGAAAGAAAAAGATATATTTTTAAGCATACCCATCATTATTGTAATCTCTTTCCTTTAACATGTCAATGTGTCTCTTTTTTAACAATAAATTTTGTCCTTCTACAATTAACAGAGGCCTACTGATTCTTCCAGCATCTGTATATATTCTTATCTCACGATCTCTAATATCTCGGATCATTGATACCTCAGACACAATAATGTCCATTTGTCTTCTTAATTTACGCAAAGTAGCCATTAATTGATCTGGATCTCTGTGAATTCCAACCCAGCAACCATTGACAAATATTTTGGTAGCATCAGCAATTGCACTAGGTGCTATTTCTTCCAAATTTTCCATAGACCATTCTTCTAAAAACTCTAATATCGGAGATGGCTGAGATCCAACGCTAATGTATGCCATCAATGCCAAATTTTTAACTAAGCCAACAGCTGCACCTTCTGGAGTTTCTGCAGGACACAGCATACCCCATAAAGTGTTATGTAACTGACGTGGTTTGGCAAGTTTTCCATCTCTTCCAATTGGAGAGTTAACTCTTCTTAAATGTGATAAAGTAGATGCAAAAGTTAATCTATTCAACACTTGTGAAACTCCAGCTCTTGCTTGATGAGCTTTCTTTTGATCTCCCCAATTACCAGTAGCCAGGGAATACCTCAGACCGTCGGTAATTATTTTAGTTTTAATAGCAAGTTCAAGATTAAAATCTTTACCTCGATCTATAAATTTCTGTGCATACAAGCGTACTTCTTTCATAAGATTTTTGAATAAACCTCTGAATAAAAATGCTAACAAAGGTCCAGCCAAATCTAATCTTTTATTGCCGTAATGATCACGATCATCCAATTCTCTTCGTCCTAAAGATGCTGATAATAATCTATGTACCATATAACCAAGGAAATAGGCCTTTTTTGTTTCACAAAAATCACTTATACCAACATGAGGTAACATTTCCTTTTGTAAGATTTCTCTAGCATACTTGATACGTTTTTCTTTTGTTACACCAGGTCTAGCACCTCGAGTACCAATAAAATTTAATGCTACATTTTGTTCTTGTATGACAAAGGCTTCATCTAATGACGGTTTTACCATTTCCATCATTTCGGGATCATCGAAGTCATAAATAATATGTTCAAGAATATCACGGTCAGCTACAAAACCAAGTGCACGAAAAACTATCATAATAGGTATTTCTTGCTTGATATAAGGTATGATAGCTATGATGCGTTGTCCAATCGCTGATTTTTTAATACTCTAAAATAATTAATAACAGTTATTATTTCAAAATAGATTAATAACATCTGAAATATCATTTTATATTATTGCAGTACATACGGCACCACTTTTTGCCATCATGTTAATCCATAATGTAGAAGTAGGACGTGAACTATGTTCCAAACAAGATCTAATTTCAGCTTTGTATGCATATTTACCATCCTTCATACTAAAAACATAAACTGTATTTGTCGCCATTTTCTCTTGTGCTATAAGTACCTTAATAACAAATAAATGAACATGTTAATACAATAAATAAACTAGAGTATACAAAAAAATGTTCAAAAATATATTTATAAATACTTTTTCGGATCCGTTAATGATGAAATAACCACCAGGATCAAGAGGACATTCATTTAATTCTGTTAAGTCTCGATCAGACAATCCAGCCAGGAGACAATACTTGGAACGTAACATTATTGGAATTTTTCCTATAAATGTTTTCTGATGTTGTGTTTCTGCAAATATAATTTTCAATTATTTCCATTATACTATCTGCTATAAATTTAATATAAAGATATTATTGCTGAGTCGAGTTATTGTTGATAATAGATATAATAACGAACCGATAGGATCTTCACCATCCTTTTCAATAGTTTTAGTTATATCAACATATAAAGGTGCTGAATAAGTTAAATTTCTAAGTCTAGCTTCATTCGGCATCATAGGCGATGGCGCACCATCTTTTTCCCAATGCGTCGGTTTAGACAAATAAATTTGTTCAAATTTCAATAAATGTCTAACAGGATTCTCTATTTCACCAGAAGTATGCTGAGCTTCTGCTTGTAAATCTATTTGTGGAGAATCTTCAACGATCCGTTGAACGGACATTTCAATGAATTCATCAAAACTATCAAGTTGTTGACGAACAAGACCTTTTTCATCGAAATAAGCGTTGATAACAATCCAACAAGCTTCTTGCCATAATTTCGAAGAAATTTCTTCGGCATCTTCATCGTCATACTGATCTGTACAAAAAATTGTTAAATTTATTGTATAGGGTTAGAATTCTTGATTTTCAATAATAACGAGAAATTGATAAGAAAAAGTTGAGATTATATTTAATTTGTTTATTTACCATCTTCGAGAGCATACATATTGCTTTTGTAAAACTATGTCAGTAATTTAGAAAGAAATATTTAAAATAACAATAAGCACTGAATACCAACTAATAGGTACACATAATGAAGAACAGTAGCATTAAACAGCTAGCAACTGCATTACACGCACGTGTATATGAGATGAAAACAGGGTGTCCAATAGTAACATATCACAAGACGTAAAAGTTAAAACAAAAATATCACTAATAAAATATAACTAAAATTTAGTGCGAATCTATTTCTGAAATCAGTAACTATTATTTATAGTTTTTTTAAAGATTAACCAATCATATTTCTTACATTAGTGGTACCCGATCTATGCAACCAATATAATTATATTTCATAGACTATTTAGGGAAATTTATAAAATTGTCAGTAGAGTTTGTCTCGTATATAAAAATGCAAAGCAGTTTAGAACAATTATTCATTTATTTGATATTTAGACAAACTTGTAACGATAATATTTAAATATAAATTAAAAATTATATATTTAATAAGTGCACATTAAATTATCACTAAAATCTACCATTAAATTTAATAAAACCGTTTTTTGTGAGTGTTAACTTTTAAAACGTTGAAGGTCACCATGCATTGATCATAATGATGCAACATTAGTGTGTTTTGTTCATTTTTATTTATACTAGTTTTTCTTTTACAAATTTTATTAAATTAGATGAACGGAGCTATTATACTTTTTCATCGAGTATTAATTAATTTTAAAATGTAGATCTCTTATTAAGTGTTATGAAGTTTTTAAAATTCACACACAACGTGCGTGCCATGAGAAATAATTTGTTATTAAAATTCGTGTTATTTACACATAAATATCGTTATATTTTTAACGATATTTCAGTGATAATATAGAAATATCATAACAATGGATTAAAGTAATTAATGTCTATTTATTGATATCTAATAATGTCTGCGAAGTATTCTCAAACTAAGAAGTAGTTACGAATTATAAATAAAGATAATAGTTAATTTAAAAAAAAAATTTAATTGGATAGATATAAAAAAAAATAATAAAAACAAAAAGAAAGATATCAATTTATTGTAAATTATGATTTGATTTATAATTAAATAGTAATGTGTATCGTAAATGAATTCATAGTAATTATGGAGAATATAGAAAATACAAGTTCGGTTTTTAAATTAATATCATTAACTGATTTGCCAAGTATTGCAACGAACTTTACATTAAACAGTACGTCTGAAACAGAAACAGAAATTCCAGAGGAAAGTAATAATGTGCAACAATTATGGAGTTTACCTAAAACAACCGTGACTTCATTGGAAGATACATCCTTACTATTTAACACATCAAGGAGTACTGTACATGTTGCCACAACAACGTTAGAGTCTGTTGATGAATTTGGACCACCAGAAGGGATAGAATATATTTTTGTACCACTTGGTGTTATGGTCTTCGTCATTGTATTATCTGCTGTGGTATGGACCATAATGTCATTAAACCATTAACATATTCTTTTTATTATCACATATGCTATCTCTTTATTTTATTTGCATTTGAACATAGTTTGATCTTTACTGCATTTTGTAAACATATTTAAAAGTAGAGATAAATATCTTATAAGATATTGATTTTGTTATAAATAAGCATGTATTTTATATTTAAATATCATACATTCTATCTGTCTATCTATCTATCTATCTATCTGTCTATCTATAGATATATGTGCCGGCAAATATAATAGTGGACTAATTGTAAGTCCAATAATTGGAAAAATAAATTTTATTATTTATTTTATACTAAAATTGTTTATATTATAAAATAAATTGTAAAATAAATTTGTCTAATTTTTTTACTTACAATTAGGCAATTATCATAATTACTGATACATGTATAAATAAATTTACTTTTAAATATA